GAAAATCAGAGGTAAAAAACGATATAAATACTGTTCAGTTTCTTGCACAGACCGATTGTTTCGTGTCTTTACACATCAATGTATCGTCACGAGCCGCAGGGTTTAATTTGGTTTTGTTTGTGTATGTTTTTTTGTGTGTTGTTTTTGACAAAGCCGTGATTCCCATTCACTTCCATTATATGACTGACAGACTGCAATGGTTTGAGTTAAAAATCTTTGTTTGTATTCTACTGAAGAAACAAAGGCACCTACATCTTGGATGCCCTGGGGGTAAAAATTTTCATTTTTGGGTGAACTATCCCTTTAAATTGTAATAATATTTCACAATATTACTGTTTTTACTATATTTTTATTATTTTTTATTAAATAAATGCAGCTAAAATATTGCCGACCCCAAATTTTTGGTATAAAATTTATTTATAAATCACATATTGACTAATGCACATCATCTGAGTTATAATGACCTAACTTGATTAACTGCAGTTCCTAAGGTGAAATCTGTGGTGTACTGCACATGCTCAGTATATCCAGAGGAGAATGAAAGACTTGTGAAGAGAGCGCTTGAGAATGCAGACAGCAAAGCAAAAGCTGTGCCCTTCAGGTACACACGCATCTCTCTCTCTCTCTCTCTCTCTCTCTCTCTCTCACACACACAAACACACACACACACACACACTGTCCAAGCATTAAGTCTTTCCTGTCACACGCCACTAACTGTAAGGATTTAAAGTTGCTGTATCCATGGAAACAGCAGTTAATCCACAGAAAAGCAAGTGGTGGAAGGATTATGTGAACGTTTGAGTTATGAGAAAATGGATATGAGTTGGATTGAATTTATAACACAAAACATCTCTCTCCATGTTTCTCTCAGGCTGGTCAGTGCAGGATGGGATGATGAGGAAGAGAAGTTTTTCAGAACTCAAGCATCTGACGTCACAAATGGCTGTTTCCTCTGTGTGATGAAAAGAGAGGTGAGAAAGAAGGAACGAGAGAAAATCAAATGACTAACAGGTTTTATAACATATATAATAGGACTTTTACAGCCATAATGATTTGCTGTGATTCATATGCTGTGTTTATATCTAAACAAGTGTGAAGAAGTGTCTGTGAGTAGAGTTGGTGAGAGAGCTCACACACACACACACACACCGCTCTCATGCAGAGCTTGATGCATTGCTGTCCTAAATACTGGCAGCGTAGCTCCGGTTCGCACTAAATAATGAACACATGTGTCTGATCACATTAGCATCCACACAAGACCACAAACAGCAAGAGAAACAAGGATGTAGCTTCTTTTGTGTGTGTATGTGTGTGTAAGCTTGCATTTGCACTTTATACTGCATATAGACTGGGGTTAGTTGTCACTTTTGTACTACAATGAATATACAAGTCAACTGAAATTAAAATTAAATTGACCATTATCCTACAAAAGTTATCATTACAGGAATCTGCTATTTATCACTGATAGTAAAACAATTGTGAAATGCAAAAATAAAATAATATAAAACGATTAATTTTTTTTTTTTTTTTATGTCAGTGAGATTATTTTTTATCCAAAGAAATTAACACTTTTCTTCAACAATGATGCATTAAAATGATTAAAAGTGACAGTATATACATTTAGAATGATTTCGGTTTCAAATAAATGCGTTTTTTTAAATTTTCTATTTACTAAAGAATCCTCAAAAAAATTTTTATCAGGGTTTGCATAAAAAATATTAAGCAGCACAACTGTTTTCAACATTGATTGAATAATAAGAAATGTTAATTTATTAAATCCATTGAAAACACAAGACAACTTCCCCCAACCTGACATAAACCCTTGTCCCAAGAACACAGTTTTTAACTTTATGATTCAAATCTACCTTCATTTTTATTGTTGACAGAAATTGTGTAAAATCAGCTAGTCAGAGCTTACCAGCACTTTTCCAGGTTTGTGAGCAGAATAAATCATATGGTCGGCAGACTGTGGTTGTGCCGTCTGTGGCTAAGACTATTGAGATATTGTGACAACTAGCCCCGGTCTCCTTATATGTAATATTGCTCTATGCATATGTGTGTGTTTTACTTTCTAACAGCAAGACCCAGCAGAGGTAGAAACTGTGCAGGATATTTTAGCACGAGCTGCTGCTAAAGGTTTGTTGGGCGGACTGCGCCCTCCTGACCCCGTGAATGGAGAGAAACCGAAAAAGAGAAAAAAACAAAAAGGATCCAAACCAATTCTTCCGCCTTCCTCCCTGATTGAGCCTCCCGCATCGGTGATGATCAGTCAGAGTCCTCCAGCTGACGGTGTGCTCATCTATACCATCATCCAGACAGCAGACGATTCCAATCACACTTCCAGAGTCCTGAATGACAGTTCCACAATCCTAGATCATGCTTCAAGTCAAACATCTGCAGTTATGGATGCCACATCTAGCACTACAAATCACTCCAGTGTTCTAGACCACTCATCCGACAATAAAAATCAGCCTTCTGTTGTGCAAAAGAAGCGACCAAAAGGTCATAAGCCTCGAGCTAAAGTTGCTAAGCAGTCCAAGAGAAAAAAGTCTAAGTCCCGCACTCGTAAAGAACGTCAGAGTAAGTCTCGAACTCCACGCAAGAAACTCCTGCACCTTCGGCCATCTCAACACACAACCCTTACCTCCATTAAACCAACTCTACCTCAGAGCAAACCCGCTGCCATCAGAACCCCAGTGTCACCGCACAGATTCAGACATTTGCACAGCAGAGCTGCGTCTCAACGAGAGTCCGTTAAACCAAAAAAGGAAATGATCAAATCAGAAGCCTTCAAGCTAGACAGGGAGGAAAACCGGTCAAGAGAGTTCAGTCTTCCTCCTGTTTATCCGCTCAGTCCTTCACATCTCTCTTCGTCCCATCGATTGTACTCCTCCATGTCTTCTAATTTCTCCAGCAGTCTTTCCTCTTCTAGCAGCATTGCCAAAGGCAGAGGCTCCATCATTTGGCGTTGAGCTACAACCTGTTGTTCATAAATACACATCCCGTGTGCTTCCATGCAAAAGAAGAATTATTTTCGCCATTGAAAGCAAGGTACTGATCTCATAACTAAAACAGTATAGTTGATTAAAGGGATAGTTCACCCAAAAATGAAAATGATGTCATTAATTACTCACCCAAATGTCATTTCAAACCCATAACTTTGTTCATCTTTGGAACACAAATTAAGATATTTTTGATGAAATCCGAGAGCTTTCTGACCCTCCATAGACAGCAAGGGTCTTACCACGGTCAAGGCCTAGAAAAGTACCAAGAACATCGACAAAATAATCCATGTGACATCAGTGGTTCAACTGTAATTTTATGAAGCTACGAGAATATTATTGTGCGCAAAAAACTAAAATAATGACTTTAGGGGTCAGAAAGGGTCAGAAAGCTCTCGGATTTAATCAAAAATACCTTGTTTAATAATTTGTTTCCGAAGATGAATGAATGCCTTACAGGTTTGAAACCACATGTGGGTGAGTAATTAATGACAGAATTTTCATTTTTGGGTGAACTATCCCTTTAATGTTTATGTATGTTGTACTTTGGCAACACTGTAACTGTAGCATGTATACTGTGTTGAATACATTATTTTATTTGTGATTTGTAACCTGTCTAAGGTCCTAATTTTGTGTGTTGCACAATATGTCAGAATATGAGAAAACAGATTTGCATTAATATGCACCACAGTTGACTGACTGAGTGGTGTATTACTTAAAACCACATTTATATTTCAATTTCTAAAAAAATATTTTATATCTTATTGAAATTAATTTAAACAATTTATATATCAATTATTCGTTAAATCAGTTGAAACCAGATTTTGTATCTCTATAAAATGTTTACATAATTGTCTTTATTTTACCAACTATTTATTTATTCAACATATTTTCTTAACTATTTCTGTAATGTAACTATTTTATACAGTTTGATAATGTTAAGTCAGCATGTTTATTTATTTTAATTTTTTAATGACAAATGTTGGACTACTTCCATCATTTTATCTGCTTAAACGTTGGCCCTTTCTTACGACCAACTATAAATATTCAGTCTATCTACTTCCATCCAATCAACAACCAGTGGGTAGAACTAGGTGCCTGCCCTACATTTTCTGATAATCAGATGTACCTCACAATATGGAAGAAAATGTTTTATCATGACTTTAATAATTATGCCACTAAAGCTTTGACTCATATTTTATAAAATATTAATATCCAACCCCATCTCATAAGAAAACTATTTTACAAGTTGGCAATTTCATATGAATGTGTACAATTAGGCTTTGATTTTTTTAGAGACATAAGCATGAAGGTCCACCCCTAAACCTCAGTGGGCCATAATCAATCATACAACTTTGCCACAACAATTTTAAAACTTACAAGTTACATTCATTAGTCCATTAGGACATTTCTTGCTACTAACAACAGACTATATTTTATGAAATCAATTAACAGCCAGAAACATTTTGATGTATTTTGTGATATGCCATTTATTTTCACAACAGTTTACATTTATATGGTGTACAAATTAGTGTAGAGCAGAGAAAGCCAACGTTTCCACAAAAACGTGTGTTTGAGTGTATTTCACCAGTAGTGTTAATTCTTAGCTTGTTAATCCTTGTGATGAGATTTCCCCTGATAATCGCCAATCAGAGAGATTCACCATGCAAGAACACTAGAGTCAAACACACTACTCTTGGCTAACAAGAGAATGATGATTCTATGCTGAATTATTGTACTGGACTACACTACCCATAAGCCTCCTCCCTCTTTCTGGTTTTGCATGTAACAGCTGACTTTGCCGGTTGCCACTGAATTCATTTTGAAACATAAAGTGTGACTGATTCCCCCCCAAGGGAATCCAAAAGAAAACAGTAAGTTGTACAAGACCCAACATTACAGAGTGACATTCACATGAAAAAAAAAAACTGAACAAAACCCAATATGCACTTTTGGATATTGGGGAAAGCGAAGGGGTGCAGTACACAGGCAGATTGATTTGTGTCAGGTCATTTTAGCACTCTGATTATCTGCAGGGTGAATGCGGAGGCCTCGTGCCGTCAAGATACAGGAATAATGGTTATATTAGCGCTAGCTAAACATCTACATACTACCCAAACAAATGCACTCTAATTTTGGTCTGATTATGATCTTGTTTAAACTGACATTTTGGAACATACACTAAATGACCAAATGGATGTGTAATACAATACAAATAATTAATAGGACACTAGTCCTTCTTTTTGCTGATACACCAGCTTCAACTGCGTCCTAATTTGCTAAAAATTTGTTTCACTGCACAGCTTTTTAATGGTTTGCTATTGTAAATGTGTTATGCGTTATAGATGGACGTCTTTGATTTTTGTTGTTTTTAAAATAAATCGAAAACCTTTAAAAACGTGTCTCGAGACCCTACATTGGGCGCCACATTTTTAAACTGCACCGAGTTAAAACTTGTCACAAGACCCTACGCTTGGTGTCACATTTTTAAAACATGAAGTTTAAACCTTTTTAAAAAACATGTCTTTTGAAATCCTATGTTGGGTGCCATGTTTTTAAAACAAATCTTGTTAAAACTTTTAAAAATGTGTTTTGAGACCCTGCATTGGGCACCAATTTCCTGCACTGCATCTCAAGTTCTCAAACACATTTTGAGTGAAGGGTCTAACATGAGATTGTTTGAGATTGATTTTATGCACCGGTTGCAACCGAAATATCCGAATAGCCACTTGTTAGGTTTAACATGCTTTTGTCCATATAGTGTATTCTAAAGCAGACTGAAGCTATACCTACGTCTAATGTTGGTTTGGGCACAAAGCCTTTTAAATGTTATGTTATCGTGGCAGTCAGCGTCTGAGATGAACAGCTCTCCAGAGTAACTGTACAGTGATTTGAATTGACTTGGTTTGATTTGTTGTATAAGGGTAAAGAATGTCTAAGCTTCTGATACATCACAATGCAACCAGTATATACCAATATAAAATAGAATAAATTAAATAAAACATCTCATTTCTGTTCAGTACAGTGTCTTCTTAAATTGTCCCAGGACATGCAAGGCAATGTCTTTTTTCCTCTCAAATCTTCCTCAGAGCTAAAAGAATGCATAGATAGACACTTACAGTTCACATCTCCTCCTCTAGAGCTAGCTCTCCTAAAAAGGACCATAAAATAAATTCATATTCACAATCTCTACCATCTTTCACTCTTCTTCTTTTCTTTTCTTTGTTTTGTCAGTTGGTTTATCTACAACACATGATTTTTTTTTTTTACAGTATAGCCAGCATAAACGGGATCACAAGACATGCCAAGGCAAGTATGACCAAAACAAACAAAACATGACAAAATAAAAGTATCTGAAATTCAAAAAATAAAGCCTTATGATATGATGTTTGCTATATATAGATACTGTATGTACACATATAAGTGACTCATCAAAACCCTTGTGAAAGAAAGGGTAAGTCTAGGAGTACAGCAAGACCATGTAGGTACGTGCGGGGGGAACGTTTATGAAGCGCAACCAGGACATGTAGAGCCACTAATGCCATCCAAACGTCGGAACTGAAATAGCTCTGGAGTTTTTTCACTAACTTGGATCTGCTGCAGATAGCTCCTGTTAGTCAGGTATTTTTTGACTTTCAGTCACTGGAGAGCCTCTCGAGGAAGTAAGCACTACGCTGGGGTTCAAAGCAGAATTTACACGAATGAACTGTTTGACTCTAGGCATAAAGTTGCTGCCTCCTGTACGTTGCTCCATGAGTAATTCAGTTCTCTTCCACAACATTCTCTCTTTCAAAGAAAAAAAGGGCAATTTCACTTTGGAAATATAAAAAGCACATTCATACTTTACATCTAAACACTAAACTGAACAGGTAATGTCCTTCCACCTGTGTTAATGCACAGCAAGTCTATGGAAAGTCTGATTCATCAATGTTGTTTGTTTAATATTGGCATCTTTTCCAAGCCTCCTCATCAACTTCTGGTGAAGATGAACATGTCAGCAGAGCTTCTTGAAGAAAACATTTTTGATGTATTTCAACGTTAATGATGTTTCACTCAGCTGAAAGAGTTGCGATTTCCATCTTCCTACTTGGAAAAGTGCAAAGGAACTTCACTTGAATTCGAACTTCCAAATTGTGCATTGTGAGGTGCCATTTTTTCCCCACAATTTGGTTGCTAGAAGACTTCATTGTTGACACTGAACAAATGCAATGTTAATGTAATGTAGTGTTGTTGTTTTGTTGCCAGAAGGTGCGGTCACATTTACCAATGTGTCAGTAGGAATCCATGTGATCGGTAATTTCACTTGAGGGCGAACGATTTCCCCATGCAGACTTCTCATCGGGTTCAAGTTTTTTACTGCGCTGACCAATACAAATATACTTGGTTTGAAAGCAACTTTTACACGAGTTGTGCTTCATACATCGCTGCACTACTGACAATTAACAATGGTCCAAATTTTTGCCAAAACATCGCTAATGTTACCGCACCTTTTGAGCACTGAACATTGGAGCACCTTGGTCAGAAGATATCAAGTAAGAACATCCGTCATCCAACTTTGAATGGAACACAGTGCACGGTTCCTCTCATCCACCCATTCTTGTTTTGTGTTCATCAGGATAATAAAGAATGCAACAAAAAATAGCTTTTATGACACTTGTGAACATCCGTTAGCAAATGAAGCAGCATCAAGCTCCTCTACACACCCGCACACACATACGGTCATGCGACAGCGATGAACTGTGACAATATGAAGAAGCTCGGTTGAGTGAAGCAGCCGTATTTGCTCTTTTTGAATTACACAAGCTTTCTTCAAATGATCTCTTTGAGCAGGCTTTGTCCAGATAGGGTGGTGCTTATAGATGGGCCAAGCCTGTTGGTTACAGTCATGCTGGAGACGCGTGGCTTCCCATGCAGATATACGCATGACTGACATATGGGAGACGGAAGAGAGAGGCTTGTAGATATTGGATTAGGTGTGTGTTTGTGAGTGTGTGAGTAAAGGGTGTATTTTCTTGGCATCAGCTCATTTGATAATTACTTGTTTCAGAATTTCAGACCGTTTTCGTCCTCGAGTTTTGCTTTGACTGGACAGATATGTACAGGACATTCTGATAGCTATTAGCATGCAGAGCGTGACGGTGCGAATGCGTGCTTGTGTGTCAGATCACTGGGGGAGCTCAGTGACTGGTCTCTTCTGTTTGAGCGTGTCGATGAGGGAAAGAACTCCACGTTTGACGCTGGTGGAGACGCGGCGAGTGACTGAATCAGCAGGGGGTGCTTGTGAGCAGGCTTTCTGAGATGGAGGGCGTGCCACCAGACACTTATGATACCTCAACTGCAGAGACAAAGAAACGAAGAAAACAAGAAACAGTGAGTGGATGAATTCATGTGTTGAATTTAATGTAACAGGCTTGGTTGGATAAGATCTGATTATGAAATATGACATTCAACTTTATGAAATAAGAACACTTTCAATAGAATGGGTTAGGCTTAGGTTGGGTTGTTGTTTGAACACCACATCTTGACTAAGGGCGGATGATAAATCAGACATTTACAATGGTTAAGCAACATTGTGACTATTACAAGGATTTTAATGTTTCATTTTTTTTATTTGGCCATCAGGTTTTATTCACAGAAATGTCAGTGTGTCGTTTTTAAATATATTTTTATTTTACAACATTCTATTAAGGTATCTGTTTATGGCTATAAGTTACAGTTATTACAGTTGTACAGTTATTAATATATATAATATATAGGGCAGTTAATAAACAGTAACATATTTTAATGTTTTTGAAAGAAGTCTCTTATGCTCACCAAGTCTGCATTTATTTGATCAAAAATGCAGTAATATTGTGAAATATTACTACAATTTCAAATAACTGTTTTCTATTTTAATATATTTTAAAATGTAATTTATTCCTGTGATGGCAAAGCTGAATTTTCAGCATCATTACCAGTTTTCCATTACGCTGTCATATGATCCTTCAGAAATCATTCTAATATGCTGATTTGGTGTTCAAGAAACATTTCTTACAATTATCAGTGTTGAAAACAGTCGCTGCTTAATATTTTTGTGGAAACGCTGATACATTTTTCATTTATCTGAAATAAGAAATCTGGGGCCTCATTTATAAAATGGTGTGTATAAACCGTCCTAAATTTGTTCTAAGATCATTTCTCAAAAGTGCGTAAGTGCGATTCAGAGAAAACGAACGTGCGCACAAAAACACGTGCGTACGCCTCTCTTCCAGATGTGACATTTATAAATCGCAAATGATCTTGAAATTGTGCGCAGCTGACTGGTGTCAGATCTCCGCCTTGTAAACGCCCCCTAATTAATATCATTACCATATAAAAGAGCACACGCCAATATCCGACTTTCTATGCTTATAATAATACTACTACTACTACTACTACTACTAATAATAATAATAATAGCAATTATAAAACAATTAGGTTTCCAAAAGTAAGAATAAACTACGAATTCAAGTAACATTTTCAGTTATCTTATAAAAAGTGAGCCATCCTACTTTTAAAATCACTTGCTATGACAATTAATAAAATGTTTAGTATCACGAAATTCTTGCAAAACTTTAAAAAGCATTATTGAAAGAAAAATTGGACGTTTCATATCATAATAAAATTAATTATTACACGATTATGGTCTCCAGTCAGAAAAAAACCTGCGTGTGATTTGTCATTTCTTTATATTTACACAAAATATAACTGATGTAAATGACAAAAACTAAGTTTAAGGCTGACGTCTCTATTCATTTTCACAGAAGCAAAGCAGCAAATGTTATAAATAAAAACAGTTAACAATGTTATTGAATAGAATATATTAAAACCGTTATTGCACGACATAGGCCTATTCTTATAGGCTACACAGACAAAACACTCAGAGATGCGTTTATGCATTTTTTTTCTATTTTACGCATTAGTAGTAAATCAAGACTTCGCAAGTTCTCGTAAAATAAAATAATAAAAAACAACAACAACATGGAATAAACTGTGTACAGAAAGCGAGTAAAGAACTCTCAACATTAGGCTACTAAAAAGGTCAGTTTAATCTCGCAAAAACTCCCG